GCCCAGCAGGACAGACCACCTTCATAAAATCCATCTGGTGGGCCCAGGGTGCAGGCCCTTCTGCCTAGATGTACAGCTCACCCAGCCAAAGAGGTGCTGTAGGCTTCTCTGGAGAGAGAGCGGGGGCAAGGAATAGGTTTGGAAAGCTAACAAGGGTTATTACAGCCCAGTGGTTTGGCTTATCTGACTGTCCTGTCAGAGGAGGTTACTGCTCATTGCTGCTCCAGGGGCGATGAGTCACTCAGGCTGCACTGGTTGGCTGATAAATGTATCGAGCCATCTCACCTGTGTGTTCAATGGCACAGGAAAACCGCTGGATATTTATAGAAAGGAATTGCGTTCCAATTGGTGCAAAGAGAACACGAACTGCTCCTTGGTTAAAGAGCACAACTGGGCTGTAGTCCTTTCTTCAGGGCTTCAGACCAAGAGAAAGGATAGTCGAGAATCTTTACTAACCTCTTTTGATGCTCAGACAACAGCAAGTTTTTTTCACTTCAGAGTCACTCTTCCTCACTGGAAGTATTTGGAGAACAAAGTCACTCCCGGTTTAGTTAAACATTTGTCTTTTCATGGCACTGAATTGTAAATAAAGCTGTTGTCCTAAAAATACTGCAGATAACTCAAAGTTTCCTGAGGTTCAAAGATGTCCTCTAACAACAATCCTTGTGTTGGGCTGCAAACTGAAATGTGAAGTCGGTTGTCCAGATGTCTGGTACAGAGCAGCCCAGCCAGCCTGCTCTTTGCAAGGGAGCAGCTATTCCCACTGATGTGTTTCACTCCAGCAGAGCCTCGATCTTTCTGAAGCTCAGGGGCTGGAGATGTGAAGCACAGCAGAAGGAGCTGCCTTGAGAGGCACAGAGATGCCAGTGAGAGAGGAGGGAGTGTGCAGTGTCTGATGTGGGCACATCTTGTCTGGCCAGCCAAGCCAAATGTTTATCACCTTTGGATTCACCATCCTGCCCAGAAAGCAAAACAGACATGTAGTAGTGTTGGCAATCTCTGTAGGAACCTCCTGTCTGCCAGATTCTCTCTCCCTGCCCTCCCAGCAGGTGCCAGCTGGGTTTTTGCTTTCTTTCATCCTATGATTGTGTTTCATCAAAGCAAGCACAGTCAGGGGACGCAGAGCCCAAAGGCTTACTAAAATTAGGCCTGATCTTTGGTCCTGTTTGCAAGTCATTTCTAGGCACAGTGATGTCTGACATACAAACTGGCTAAAATCAGGGTTTGCAAGTCCTAAGTGCAGCTATGTTTGCATTATTGTTTGGAAAGTCCTTCAGAACAGCTGTGTGCCTGCTAGAACAGACCAGCAGCACACAGGCTCAGATCAAAGAGCCCCAGTGAAATAAATTTCAACAGACAAGCAGCCTACACTCTCCAAGTACCTGGGAAAGGAGAATCCTGGGAGAAGCACGGCGGCTGCAACTTTGACACAATCCAACCACGATCACACAGTCCCCATGACTCAGTGCTGGAGTCACACTTGTTCACTGTGGAGATCTCTGGGTCTTCTGCAAGAGCAAGGAATGAACAAGATGTTAAGTCCCAATTAAGTTAATGGGGCTTAAACAAATCTTTCAAGTTGAATGTAGTGGTTTGTGTTTTAGTGGATCTGGATCCTGCTTAAGCTTCCCTTCCCCCTTCTTCCCACAGAGCTTCTTAAATTAAGGAGGAATTATGAACAGCAGTTCAAACCCCAAAGTGCAACCAGAATAGGTGTTTGGAATTCCTGTTCAAAATACCTTCAAAGAGGTGATGAATAAGAAACAGAGGTGAGGAGAGAGAGTGAAAAGTATGTTTTGTGCCTGTTTTTATACTTAGCTCATAGTGGTTTTCAAATGAAGAGGAAGTGTGGATGTTGGGTCTCTGTTTTGGCTGATTGCCTAACATGCCATGGAAATCAGTGCCTGTGGTAGCACTGCCCTGGGCTAGAAGAGCATTCAATTGGGGCTGGATCTGAAATAACAAATTATCCCAACTCTGGTCTGCATTTTGGGCAGCAAATTTGGTCCAGTTCAGGTCTTCATGAAGACCTGGATGGTCAGCAGCACTCTGCCAGGCCTGTGCTCACCTACCTGCTGCAAAATGGCCTTCTAAATGGCATGAACCAAGGTGAAGCCAGTCTCATTTTGCAGCAGCCTGGGTACACCCATGATACTCCTCTGGTGCAGAGCTCTCTGTTTTCCTTTTCACTGCTATGGTATGTCCCCATATCCTGCAGCTTGTGAGATGGAAAGGGGTGTATGGGGTGTGCCATGCCCCAGGACAGGGATGGAGCACTGGTTTAAGGACTTACTCTAGGGAGCTGAAGGGATGCAAGTTCAAAATAAATAAAAAGAAGTGAATCTCCACTCTTCATTCACTTGTCCTGGAGATGGATGTCCCAGCAGCTCCCTCTGTGCTCCAGGGAGAGACAGGGAAGATCCTTGTGTCAGCTATGGCTTGGGGTAAGGGACAGCTTCTGAAATGGGCTGCTCCTAGACTGTTAGAGGCTTTACAGGGCAAACCCAACCCCTTAAACTTCTCCTGAAAACAAATGGGCAGTCAGGCCTGATGAACACCCTTCCAGGAAGCTTTGCAAGGCGGGCTTTTGTTAAGACTCTGACTAAAAAGGTCTACAGCCTCCCATTTGATGAACAGACAACAGCATTTTTTTTCCCTCCTAACAAGGTTTCCTTAGAAATGGATCCACTGCTGAATCCTGAGTCTGCCTGGCATATTCCGGGGGACATCTGGCGTAAATTCTTCATTATTAGATTACATTAGTTGCAGCAATAATCATTCACATGGGATTATTACATCCAAGCTTGTCTCATCGCCTTTATCCTTTCACACATTGTCTTTCCTGGTTCCCCTTCAAAGGGCTGTTGTGAGTCTGTGTCGGAGCAAGAAATTAACTTGTTAGTAATTTATGCATCATTTCCTCCAGCCACATGTATTTAGGGCAAGATCAATAAAATATAATAAGGAAGCGGGTGGGTATTGTCACCATGGGGCTGAAATAATTCCTTTGGTATCGCTGTAAATCCGTCCCTCACATATGAAAAGCTGCAGTGCTGTCCATCATTAGTTTATTTTGCTAGACTCTATCAACAGGGCATTTGATTTGGCTCTTTTATGTGCTTAGAGAGCTCTTGTCCTGCTACTTCTGCTCACAGCCACACAAAGTGCCTCAAGTGGAGGTTTAAGTTTTTGAGAGAGCAGTGTTTCACAGCCTTTCTTCTGGCTCCTGTTGTGTAATTAAAGCTGTGCCATGTCACACTGGAGATTCATTTCTGGAGTGGCTCCATGCTCTGGCAGCTGCTGAGATATGTTAGGTCTGAGAAAGGGAAAGGGATAGGAAGAGAGATCCAAGCACCACAGCTCAGGGCACAGAAGTCTTGCTGTTTGTGGGAACTGGGAAGACAAACCTGAGTGTGTCTGAAAGGTCACTGGCGGATTCCAGGGAGTCTGGAGTCCCTGGGTAGTGATCTGACTGCTGGACAGCCCTTCCTGGGTAAAAATAAAAGAAAAGAAAGAAAAGGAGATTGGATCCATCTTACCCACAGCAGGGCAATGCCTGTGGAGAGAAGAGACAGCAGACAGAGCACACTGGATTTCTATGTCTCCTAAAGAGGAGTCTCTTTGCTCACCTCCTGGCTTCAATCCAGACTACCCTGCAGGGTTTCAGCTGCATGAGAACTTGAATTTGAGGAATTTGTTGCAGTTTCAGATTAAGAATTTTCTAAAAGTGCAAGCAAAATCAAACCAGCAATTTGGCAGCCTTGCTAGCTCTGCCTGCCTGGACTCCCTGTGGCTGCTTCTCCTGTGGGAAATGTCCCAGCAATTGGCACTGATGAGGAGGGGGCTGTGTGTCCCACCTTGGCTTTGGCAATGCTCTGTCTGCTGATCTCAGCAGAGCAGAGGCTCCAATTCCTGAAAGTCTCTGGAAGGCGAACTCTTGAGATCATTCTGCGCTTTGGGACCTGCATGTTTTGTTGCTGTAAATGTGGAGAAATCTAGGAGACGGAGGTGGTTGAAACCTCCTGCTTGGTCTGACTCATCCCAGAGGAATAGTCCATGTGGGGTTGTTCTGGGCTGAGCAGCACACAGTGTACAGGATGGGGCAGTGGAGGCAGAGCAGTCCTGCCCTCCACAACCCCAGTGGTGTTGACACAGCCTGAAGGGGAGAGCAGAGGAGATGAGATCCTGAGATTATCAGTGCAGACGGGGGAGAGGAATGTTGTTTGCTTGTAGCTCTTCTCCAACAAGACTGGCAAAATTCAAACACGAGGGAGGATGCAGGCAGATGCCTATGCGTGGTTTGAGAATGTAACAGAGATAAGCAAGCACAGGAACAAAGCCAGGGGCTTTAACTTCAGCACAAGAAAAACCGGTCACAGCACAGGCTGGTCCTCTGAAAGCCTTCTGGAGACAGGGGTCTGTCCAGGTCACCTGCAAGCAACTAGTGGCACTGCCCAGGAATGTGTACAAAACATTGCTGCCTTCACACCTGCCCCCACCATCCTCAGACAGCTTCGGTGAGGCAAAAGCCAGTTATGCCTGGTCTCTACTGGAGTCCAGTGGTACTGTGACCAACACTGCCACCCTCTCATTGGCAAAGTTTGTTACCAGATAGAGAGTGGGTGCAGATGAGAGAGAAAAAAAGACAACTGGCAGAGGGAAGCAGGAAAGCAGAACTGAGGCTGATGCTCAGATCGGATGGCAGTTGTTTGCTTGGTTTTGTTCCTTTAGGAGCTGGGATTAGAAAAGAAATCATTTCCAGGAGACACTTTCTCAGCAGAGCCACTTCGGACTGACTCCTTTGCATCGCAGGGCCTTTCCCAGGCAGCCTGTGCAGCCAGCCCTCCCCCCGGCATTGCAACATCTCCTGCTTTCCAAAGAGACAGGAGCAAACACAGGAAACCCCAGCCCGGTCAAGGTCTGGGAGGTAAATTTGTAACTTAGGACAGACTGTGAGGATGCTGCTCTGTAATATGTAAACACTCCTTTCTTTCTCCAAGAGCCCAGTGCCGCCGAGAGAGCTGATCCCAAACCTCCCTTCATGGTTGAGTCTGCTGAAGAGACGGGACGCAGGTTGGAAATGCAGCCGGGCACACAGGTTCCTTATTCCCTGGAGATGGGCTCCTTCCCTCACTTCTGTAAGTCCTTGTCCTGACCCTGTGCCACTCAGCTATGTGGGCTCAGTTCTGGGTTGGGAGGCTGTGCAGGACACCACTGAGAGCTGTGGGGTTTGCCCAGCCTCCTGGGCATGCTGCTCCTGTAGCCATCTGAACAGAGCCTTTATGGGACTTTAATTTGGCTGCAGGTCTTGAGAAGAAACCTTTGTAGCACTGAGCTGCACTCTCCATTGAAGGAGTTTAGACATTGGGAAAATATAATTTAACAGGAGTGGTGGAGGGGTGATGGGACAGATGGGCTGGGGAAGGAGGTGGCAGCTCTGTCCCCAAAGATGTCTGGTCTGATTTGGGGCAAGAAGATGGGTGAGATGAGCTTGTTTTCCTTTGTGTCTCTTCCAGACCTGTGAGTCTGTGCTTTCCTCCTGCAATGCAGGGAAAGAAAAGTGTTCAGGGTGTGGAAGGGGATACTGTATTTACAGGTGAGGGCTGTGATGGCTTATACTAAAGGAGTTTTGGGGATCAGCTCATAAAGGTTAAAAAAGAACAGGTGGAAGCTACATATAAAGCTAGTCAAGAATTTTCCATGAGGATAATACTTTTAACAAAGTGATGCTTCTCTAAAAAATGAAGCTCTTCCTGGATAAATATTGATTTTATCAAATATATTAAATATGTGTGTGTATGTACACAGAGAGAGAGAATTTCACTGTGAAAAAGTCTTAATGACCTAACTAATTTCAGATCCCTTTGAACCTGGTTTGGGTTTCAACCTGACTCAATGTGTTTCGCTAACTCTGCTGTGTATGAGCTCTTTGCAATATACATGTAACAATATTCTAACCAAAAAGAATATGTTTACTTGCCTTTATATGTTTCCAAGTCACATAAAATTTAAACCAGCAACTTCTCTTGCAGCTTTACTAGTAAATATGTCACATATTCATATCAATATTAAGTTTACTTAGCATCAACAGGTACACTATTTGTCTGATTCCTGTATATCAGGTAAACCAGTTGTACAACACTGGAGTTAATCTGGTCGGATGCAAAGTAACCTTTGCATCAATTCTGAACTCGGAATCAAAACCAACCTGTGTTGGGCAGATGTGCATGTAAGTAAAGGACAGAGAGAAAATTATATTCTAGTCTCTGAGCTTTAAAAACTGTCATGAGAGCCAGAAAGGCATCCATCCCACCAGCCTAATCTGACCCCTCAGCATAAAGGGAGGCTGCACAAGATCCCTGCTTGGTGCTCAGCCCCAGTCTCAGTTTCAGCTTAGTCCCCAGCCCCTGGGAGTGATCCACAAAGGATTTGTCACCAGCTGCAGCCACCAGAGCCCAGAGTTGAAGTCTAGCGTGTGCTGCCAAAACCGGCTTGCAGGTACTCACAGGTTGGCCCCTTCCGCTCTGCATCTGTCAATAAAGCGAACATCCTTCCCATCCTGACTTTGCCCAGCTGACCTTTTTAAACACGGTTGCAGGTTCTGCCCGATCTTCCCTTTGACAGCTCTGAAGATTCATTCTGAGCGTTGCAGAGGCAGTTGGTTTAGGGGACAGATCAGCAACCTTTCATGGGTGCGGGGCTGGCCTGCCTCTCCCTTCCTCGAAGACCAGCTCACGTACACCTGAGAACACTCATGGGGAGCTGGGAGATGCTGCCTTTACAATGGACCAGATGGTCCCCTTCAGACAGCGAGCTTGGAGCTGGCTTTTGCAGGAGAAAGAAATGTCTGTATGAAGTCAGGGAGCTGGGAAATCACAGGTCGCTGGACAACAGGAACAAATTCTACTGTAACTTTCATGAAACACCAGTGACCTCCTAGGGAGAACAGTTTTGTTACTGGGCTACTCCCTGCAGCAGAGTGGGGACAGTAGAAGCCCTTTAATTAGCTGATGAGGAGGAGGTTTCTCCTAGGCTAGATCTAGAGTGTTGTATTATATGTATAATGTTGAGTAGCATTATAATATCACTGATTTTATAATATCATTGTTATTATAATATCACTGCAAGCATGATTGCAGTGATAGCAGTAGAGGAAAGGGTGAGTATGTGTTTGTTGCAGATGTTTGGAGTCTCCTATTGATCTGCTTCAACTGAAGAATCTAAATGGGCTGGCCCAAGGGTTTTTTTAGCCACAGGATGAAACGAGAGAGTGGGTTGGAGTTAGATTTTTCTTGCTGTGATCTTGCTGCTGCTGCAGTAGCTCGCTGGGGTGATTCAGAAGCTGAGCTGAAAGTCTTCCCCGTGTGCCTTGCGTGCCCTCTGGCTCTGCTGCTCCTGTAAGTCCCTTGCTTGGGCTAAGCACTATCCTACTGCCCAGAAGGCACTGCCTCGCTGGAGGGGGGTGTTGGGCTGCCCTTGGGAAAGGGAGAGACATGAGCTGCCTAGAGGAGGTTCCTCTGTGGCCTCTCCTGTGGCCAAGGAGCAGTGCAGTAGCTCTGAAGTCCTAATATGCCAATGCCTGCTCTGTCCTTGCTGTTGGTGGCTGCTGAGAAAAGCTCTCTCCTCAGATGGGCCCTGCTGCCCTGTGGGTTTTCTGCAATGCTCTTGTTTGCTGCTTTCTTGTTACAGCTTTTAATGGGAAGCCTTTGACATGGTTCTGGCAGAAATTGCTCTCACCTTGGCCTGCCTCTTCTGAGTTTTTTTCCAGAAACATTGCTGGATCCTGAACAAGACATTTTGGGGCCAGGTTTTGGATGGTTACCTACCTGTGAGAGGTGGTGGAGCTGGTAGCTGCATTGTGGGGAGGCCAGGCAGCCTCCACTCCCAACTGGCAGAAGTCCTATGCTGTCTGGAGTTTTACAAGGGTTTTATCTGTACTTTTTGGTATAGCTTATATTACTGTGGTTATTTATGTGTTTACTACTAGAGTAAAGCCTCTGTTCTCAGTGTTTTGAGGAAGAAAAGCATTACATTGCAAATCCAGCTGAAGAAGTTGCATTCAGAGACTGAGACAGACTTGGGGGTGGATTCTTCTGTTGGCACCAACCCTGCTGGGCTTGAGGGCACAAAGTCAAAGTGCACAAGGAATCTTGGTCTCCTTCTAAAAACAAACAAAATCTGAGTTTGCCGTCCCTCAGCACCCTGGGGAGTAGGTGGTGTGTCTGCTGCAAACCCAGAGCAGATGAAGTTGCCTGGGCAGTTTGGCTGTTTTGAGGTGGAGGCTCACTCCACTTGGGTCCATCTCTTTGAGAACCCAGCTGAAAAGAAGGCATGAGAGCAAAGATGTCTGGATGGGGTGCTGAGGGCTGTGCTTGCTGGTCCTTGGCATAGGATCCAGCAGGGTTACAGGAGGATACAGCAGTGTTTTGGGAAGAAGGCTGCCTCGGTGTCTGGCTGGCCCTGGGGGCAGCGAAGGGGTTAAAGCTCAGCCGTTCTGCCCAATCAGTCTGGCTTGCCTGTAATAACCAATTAACGAAGTGTAATTGTGCAAATCCATATGTGGCAGTAATTACCAGAGAGATTAATGGATTCCTTCCTTTCTAAGCGGACCCCACCACAGCTTGCCAGCGTCCCCCCGCCACCTGAAAGGATTCGGAGAGGGGGGAAAGCGGGAGCCGCTCTACCCTGGACACTCTGTGATGAAGCCAAGCGGACGGGGAGGCCCTGTGGGGACTGCCCGGTGCTTGTTTAAATAACCCTTTTCATCTCCCTGCGTTTCCTTATGTACAGCTCACTGCTCCCTGGCTTGGACCCGGCCTCTTGAGGACAGTTCGTGCCCAGCCTGTCGGGGCCTGGGCTGCCATGTCCCTGCCCTCCCCATTGTCCATTCATTCCCTGCTCCCCGTTCCCCTGTTTAGCCCTAATTGCTGCAGAATATCACGTCTGTTTGCCCTCTTCTTTTGTAGCTTTGTTATTTTAGTTGCAATGGGTAATCCAGCAAACTGTTAAAGGCATACACGAGGCGAGGAGGGGACACCAGGGCGCTTGGGGCAGGTTTTCAGGCCAGGCAACGGGGTTGTGTTTGGGGTATGGCAGCTTGCAGGCAGGCTGGGCCTGAGACATCCTCTAGGATGGGTTTTCTTAGGGATATATGACCACAGAAGTCAAGAGGGACCCTGGAGCAGGTGAATACTTCCCCTCCAAATGCTCTGTGTTGTGAAAGAGGGCACCGAGTCCTGCTGAGGGAGAAGGGGGTGCATTTGCAGACCTGTCCCCTGAGAGGCCACCACCTGGGCAGCAGGGGCTCCTCCCCAGTTGCACCAGCACCTTGGGCACTTGAGGTGCAAAACTACCCATCCCACTCAGCAGAGCTGGCCAGCCTTGCCTCCACATCACACACATGGAGCTGTCTGAGCCCTGCTGACCCATGGTGGGGGGGAGCTGGGAAGAGCTCAGCCCTGTTTCTGTGCTAGGCGATGATCCCTGCCCCTGACAGGTATCTCGTGCAGAGAGTCAGCCCGTGGGGAGGGTTGATGTGCCGGCTGGGGAGCCGTCCCTCGCTGGCTGCACGCACAGGGCTGCAGGTGCCCTGGGGGCGGCTGTGCCTGCTCAGCAGGGGATGGGGCAGGTGGCCGGGGAGACAAGAGCCCTTTAGAGCCTGGGATGGCAGGGAGTGGTCACATCTCATCTCGCATCAAGCGTCCTTGCATCCTCACTGCCTTCCTCTTCAGGCTGAAAAGGGGATGCTGTGGTTTGAAACTGGGCCTGTGATGTTTATTTATTTACCCTCTGTGTGTAGCTGAGACTTGGATTTGGGGTAGGTCAGAGCTGTGTGGGCCTGGTGAGAGCATCTTGTGGGTGTAAAAAGCAGTCAGACAGGCCAAAGGTCCATCCATCTTGCAAATGATGGATGCTTCAAGAGAGGATAGGAGCAGAGTGTGCTCAAGTGTCCTTCCTCCATCAGGTATGTGCCAGCAGCCTCTGCCCTGAACTGTTCAGCTGCTTCCATCACTGATAACTATGTGGGTCCAGGACTGGCTGCCCCCAAAATCTACAGTGATACATACAAAATAGACAGTGATATCTGCACAGAGATCCCTGCCGAGCACTGACTGGCCCTCACCTGGCTGTTCTCTGG